CATATTCTCTAGTGACAGATTATGAACTTTCAGAACTGTTTGAACAGGAGGGTAATGGGAAAACAGAATAAGTGGCAGAAGCAGGGAGACATAATGCAAACTTAAATGTAACAGTTTTTTTTTCTTATGTTTAATCGTTTGGTGTCTTGTTTAAAAAATCCTTCTCCACTCTAAAGTTATGAAGATATTCTCTTATATTCTCTTCTAAAAGCTTTTAAAATAAGTTTTTCATATTTAGAATTGTGGTGAGAACATTCAACATCCTATTATTCTCAATCTCTGATGGAAGGGTTTCAAAGTTTCATCGTTACCATAGCTAGATGTGGTGGGGTTTTTCCCTCCATAGTTAGATTACCAGATTAAGAAAATTCCTTTCTACTCCAAATTTACTAAGAGATAAATTTCAAGTGTTACCTAACACGTTTTCTGCATTATAATGATTTTTGTGGTTGATATTCTTTAGCTTTTTAATGTGACAAAAGAATGGTTGTTTTTCTAATGTTCAATTAACCTTGTATACCTGGGATAATCCCAACTTGGCCAAGATGTATTTTTTTTAATACATTGCTGAAGTCTATTATTAACATTTTGTGTAGAATTTTTGTACCATGTTTGTGAGGAAGTTGAGTCTGTAGTTTTTTGTTCTTTTAATGCCCTACTTCTGTTTGGTATCAAGGTTGTGATCATTCCATAAAATGAATTGGAGGGTGTTTACTCTTTTTCTATTGTTGGGAAGAGTTTGAGAATTTAGCGATATTATCTCTGTGAAAGTTTGAGAATTTAGCAGTATTATCTCTGTGAACTCCTTCACGAAGCTATCTGGACCTACAGTTGCTTTCTGTCTTAGGAAAATCTTTGCTTACTAATTCAACTTATTTAATAGCAGACCTTTCAGTTTTTCTGTTTTGAAGTTAGTTTTGGCAGGTTATATTTTAAGAAATTTTGTCTGTTTTGTATAATTTTTCTAATATATTGGTATAATAAATATTCTCATACTCTTCATTAAGTGACAATAACATCTATTTGTTATTTATGCTTTCCTTTTTCTTGATCAATCTTGCCAGGGGATTGCCAATTTAATCAGTTTCTACAGTGAATCAGCTTCGGTTTTGATGTTTCTCCCTATTGGATGTTTGTTGTTGTTTTTCTTTTTTCTTTTTTCTTTTTTTTTTTTTTTTTGAGACAGAGTTTCGCTCTTGTTACCCAGGCTGGAGTGCAACGGCACGATCTCGGCTCAGCGCAACCTCCGCCTCCTGGGTTCAGGCAATTCTCCTGCCTCAGCCTCCTGAGTAGCTGGGATTACAGGCACGCGCCACCATGCCCAGCTAATTTTTTGTATTTTTAGTAGAGACGGGGTTTCACCATGCTGACCAGGATGGTCTCGATCTCTTGACCTCGTGATCCACCTGCCTCAGCCTCCCAAAGTGCTGGGATTACAGGCTTGAGCCACCGCGCCCGGCCTGTTGTTGTTTTTCTTAATATGTCATATTTGATATTTACTTCTTTCTACAGTCTTTGGGTTTATTTGGTTATTTTTTTCTAAATTCTTGAAACTGATTTTTAATTCATTACTTTTTAGAGTTTCTATCTGATGTATGTATATAAGGCTTTGAATCTCCCTCTACATATAATATTTTAGTGTTATTGCATAGATTTTTCAATATGTAATAATTTCATATTCTAATTTTAAAATATTTTCTAATTTTCATTAAGGTATTTTTTAAGTTATCTTTTTGTTACTAATTTAATTGCATTACAGTCAGAGATCATTATCTATCGGGCCGTTAAAATGCAGTAAGAATTATTTTCTGGTCCAATAACTCTGCTTAAAAAGAATGTGTGTTCTGGCCAGGCACGGTGGCTTACACCTATAACCCCAACACTTTGGGAGGCCGAGGTGGGTGGATCACGACGTGAGGTGATCGAGACCATCCTGGCTAACACGGTGAAACCCCGTCTCTATTAAAAATACAAAAATTAGCTGGGTGTGGTGGCACACTTGTAGTCCCAACTACTAGGAAGGCTGAGGAAGGAGAATGGCTTGAACCCAGGAAGCAGAGGTTGCAGTGAGCCGAGATTGTGCCACTGCACTCAAGCCTGGTAACAGAGCGAGACTCTGTCTAAAAAAATATATATATGTTTTCTGTAACATGTGGTCATTTTTGTCAATTGCCTTGAAATCTTCTGTATCCTTACTGCTTTTCTTTCTTCTGCTTATTCTTTTATTACTGAGAGGGATATGTTAAGATCTTTCATTGTGTTGTGGATTTTTACATTTCTTCTTGGAAGTCTGTCTTGAGGTCACGTAATGCAATTGCATACATATTTAAAATTATGTTTTCCCAGTAAATTAAGTTGTATTATTATAAACTGACCCTTTTTATTATCAACAATGCTTTTCGCCTTAATTTTTTTCAACTAATATAGTTATGTGATACATGATATGACTTTCAACCTTTCTATATGCTTATGTTTTAGATGTGTCACTTGTAAACAACATACTTGGAGTTAAAATAAATCATTGGCCTTTATCGGGAGCATTTAGTTTATTTATATTTAATGCAACTATTCTTGTCATGGTTAAAAATTCAGCTATTTCTGTTGTTCTTCCTGAGGTAATTTTTTTTTCTCTAGCTGCTTTTAAGATTTTTATATTTTATTGTAAAAATTATAGTTTTTAAAAATAACTCTTTGTTTTACAGGGCCTTAGAGTAAAAATGTGTCATTTACACAGCTTACCTATAGACAAGAAGCCTGAAATAACTTGTAGTTTTGCATCTAATGCAGACCCTAACTTACTTCCATTGTTGTCAGGATTAATTATGAAACTGAAGTTTGCTGCCTTCCTTTTAATCGTATTCTTCCCCTTGTAGCAACTGTGTTTAATGTCATTAAAAATAACCAGGTGCAATAGTGCACACCTGTACTCCCAGCTACTCAGGAGGCTGAGGCTGTAGGAGTCCTTGAGGCCAGGAGTTTGAATTCAGCCTGGACAACATAGCAAGACCCCATTTCTAATTTTTAAAAAAGAGAAAGGAAAAGGTTTTTGGGGAAAAAAAAAAAAAAAAAAAAAAACTTACCAGACCTCTTAAATCTGTATATTTGGTATGTTTCATGAGTTCTGCTAAAATATCAGATGTTATCTTTTCAAATTTTGCCTCCACCACATTCTATTTGAATCAAATGATCAAATGTATATTAGACATTCTCACTCTTCACTCTGCTCTATTTTTTCTTATCCTTTTTCTATGTTTTCTATCTTTTTGTCTTTCCTTGCACAATTCTAGGTGTTTTCTTTTGACTTATCTCCCAGTTCATTAATTTTTCTGTAGCTAGTCTAACCTGATAGTCAACCATCTTTTTAAGTTCTTAATTCTATTATTTTTCAGTTCCAGAAGTTCTCTATTCTTTCAGATTGTTTATATTACTTTTTATTCTTTATTTTTGTTATTCCAGAAGTTCTCCATTTTTTTCAGATTGCTTATATTACCTTTTATCCTTTATTTTTGCTGGTGTTTTTGTTTTTTCTTCTATTGATTTATTTATTTTGCCTTTTATTCTTTTCTGTACCCTATAGATTTAAATGTTTGTCTTTTTTCTCTAAATACAGTAATCATAGTTGTTTTATCTTCTGGGTCTGCTAATTCCAATATGTGGAGTCTTTGGGCATCTGTCTTTAAATTGCTTCTACTGTTCCTTGTCCAAGATGTTTTCTTCTCTTTGTGCCTGATTGCCTTTGGTGGGTTGCTGATAATTATATTTAAAATTATTTATATATTGGCATTTGCTTTTGCTAGACAACTGGGGTACTTTTGGGCAGGCCAAGTTTACTCCAAGTTCAACTTTGAGGCAAGACTTATCAAACTGATATAAACCCTTGAGGAATAATTTATTTATGATTCACACTTTCCCTAGGATTTAGTTTTGGGTCCTAGCTTATTGGACTTCCCATCGTGTGTGGGCCTGGGCTTTGATATTTGTCACCCTTGGTCCCTGAATATGTATATAAATGGAAATATATAAAAATGGAATTTAAATGTGTAGGGATTGGCAAATGCAGTAGGGAAAAAAAGTGTATCTTCTGTGCTTATTTACCTGTGTGAGTTCATATTTTCTTTGGCCTGCAAATTTCTTGCTATGTTGTAGGCTCAATAATTTTTAAAAGACTTTGAAAAGTGTTTTATTTAGAGATCCAAGTGATTTTCAGCTGATGGGAGATTGTTTCAAATAACCTAGTCCATCATTAATAGGCATTTGAATTCCTCATCTTTTTGTAGATAAAATTTTTCTTTTTCTTCATTTATGATTAGTCTGGAGATTTTGCTTGTTTTTTCTTTGTTTTCGAGGGGGGTGTTTTGGTTTTGTTTTGTTTTGTTTTTGATATTCTGTTGGCCAGGTTGGAGTACAGTGGCGCAATCTTGGCTCACTACAACCTCTGCCTCCCAGGTTCAAGTAATTCTTGTGCCTCAGCCTCCCAAGTAGCTGGGATTACAGGCATCCACCACCATGCCTGGCTAATTTTTGTATTTTTAGTAGAGACGGGGTTTCACCACATTGACCAGGCTGGTCCTGAACTCCCAAGCTCAAGTGATACACCACTTCGGCCTCCTAAAATGCTGGGATTACAGACCTGAGCCACCATGCCTGGACTTTTCTTTGTTTTGTTTGTTTGTTTGTTTGTTTTGTTTTTAAAGAGACTATGTCTCTCTCTCCATTGTTCAGGCTGGAGTGAAGTGGTATGATCATAGCTCACTGCAGCCTTGAACTCCTAGGCTCAAGCAATCCTTCCACCTCAGTCTCCAGAGCGGCTAGAAACACACAGGTGAGCCACTGCACTTAGCTGGAGTTTTAAGGATAGTCAAAATCAGTGATAAGGAGTCTGTAAATCTATTCTTTTTTTATAACCTTACACATTTGAGAACTTTATCTTCTTCTCCCCAGTGGTCATCTTATGATCAAGAGATCATTTAGTTTGTCACCCTTCTTGTTCTTATTTGCAGATGTTGATGAATGGCACGAATCAGAAGAAAATGTTGAACACATCCCGTTTTCTCACACCCGCTATTCTGAGAAGGAAATGGCTAAGAGATCTCAGGAATTTTATGAACTTCTCAATAACAGACGGTCAGTCAGGTTCATAAGTAATGAGCAAGTCCCAATGGAAGTCATTGATAATGTCATCAGAACGGCAGGTTTGTAATTGCAGGTGGGCTCTTTGGAAATGTTAGCCACTTTACTGGTGTGACTCTTAATACTGGAAAAATGTCAAAGTTCTAACGTGGTGAATAAAGTCTAGAGTGATATGTTTATCTATAAAGTCTTACCCAAGGGTTGAGTGACTGCCAGAAACACAATGATTTCTACTTTCCACATTTTGACGATTACAAATTTCTTGGAAGCAGATGTGACAAGAGTTCAAAACTTCTGAAATTATTCAGTTTATGAACTTTTAATTAAACACCAAGATTTCTGATCAAATCATTATATTAATGTCTCAATGGAGATACATGTTCTTTCTTTCCCCTCCCCTTAAGACACAATAGACACACACGCATTCACATACTCACAGTTAAATTCATTTTTGAGGGGAAGCAAATTTCTCATATTACACACTGTGATGCTGTAGTACAGTATTCCCATAAACTAGCAAAATTTACTTATGTGAATTTGCAAAGTAAACCAAAGGAAGAAAAAAACATTTCTAATGTAAATTAATTTTTCCAGTGAGGAAAAAAAATATGAGCTACAGAAAATGGGGAGAAGAGATAAGAGAAAGCTCCCTACTTGAGAATCTCCTGTGATTGGAGTCTTATTCTTATGTAAACCACATTTAAGTTTATTTGCAAAAATTATCACATGCCCACTATGAATCCGTAGTCCAACATGAAAGGAAGCAAGAATAAAATATTTCACTTTAGTTATAAATACAAATGCATTAGATTGTTGAGTCCTTAGTCTAATTAATGGCAGTTACTAAACTTCCCCTTTATCTGTATCTGTATTTCTATATGTGTATGTACACATATGCTGTTAAGGTAAATTTGGCACAAGTAAAAACATTAGGGAAAAATTTATTTCTTATGTCAAGAGATACAAATATTTAGTAAACAAATAAAATGAATACAAAGTTAACTGGAATCACTCTGTACAGTAATTTGGGCCTCATGTTTAGCTTTTGACTTGCATTTCCCAAGCCAGTTGTGAGTTCTAGTGCTGGGAGTGATGTGTGGCAAGCAAGAACCCCAACAAGAGTCTTCAGCACTTCCTCCATAGGTGGAGCTTATTTCATTAAACTACCCATGGGAAGGAAGGAACAGTTGCTTCTGAAATATCCCACCCATAAGTCACTGTGGTCTGTTCTTGGGAACAGTGGGTCATCTCTAGGGCTGAGGGGTAACACCCAGATCAGAAGCCGGCCCCTACTCTTACTGGAATCCCATCGGGAATTGAAGTTCCTTAGACAAAGGTGAAGCTTTGCCCTGGGACACTGGAACTGATCAAGGTGTGGGCTGAGGGTTCCCGAAGTCCCTGGTAATAGAATGACACCCAGCCATGAGTATTGAGTACGCACGGCTAAGAATATGCATGGCCCTGCATATTGAGTACCCATGGCTAAGAATATGCATGGCTCTGCGTATTGAGTACCCATGGCTAAAAATAGACATGGCCGTTCGTATTGAGTACCCATGGCTAAGGATTCCCCAACTGTTGTGTGTCCCCAAGGACAGGACAAACCTCACAGTGTCACACTCATAGCTTTGATATAGGGACCAAACTATGTATAGCTAAGTTGCCTTTTGAGTAGTGTTTTAAAAACCATCTTACCATGTACATTTTGTCTTCTTCAACAAACTTCACAACTTTATTATTTTTCAAGAATATCAAAACAAATGAGAGTCTGGAGAATTCTGGCTATCAAAATTTTGAAAACTTTGAAATTTTGAAAACCCTCTGAATCTTTCCTTAGCAGTTGTGGTGCAGTTACTTGGGTACATTTTCTCCCACATATTTAGAGAAGCAGAGGCAAGTTCCCACAGTGCTGGAACTAGTGGGCTTGATCACTGATCAGTTGGCTTGATGCTGAACAAAATGGACTTGGCAGCAGCATAACAGGGTCCACTGCCAGGCATTTGTTTTCTAGATTATCTAACTTCATTTTGAGCAAGTATACATTATTTTTATTTTTTATTTTTGAGACAGAGTTTCACTCTTGTTACCCAGGCTGGAGTGCAATGGCTTGATCTCAGATCACTGCAACCTCTGCCTCCCAAGTTCAAGCAATTCTCCTGTCTCAGCATCCTGAGTAGCTGAGATTACAGGTGCCCGCCACCACACCCAGCTAATTTTTGTATTTTTTGTAGAGACAGTGTTTCACCATGTTGACTAGGCTGGTCTTGAACTCCAGACCTCAGATAATCCACCCACCTCAGCCTCCCAAAGTGCTGGGATTATAGGCATTAGCCACTGTGCCTAGCCAAGTATGAGTTATTATGTTTATCCTTAAAAACATTTTTTTAAGAGACAGGATGCCACTCTGTTGCCAGCCTAGAGTGCAATGGTGCAATCATGGCTCACTGCCTCCCAAGCTCAAGTGATCCTCTCACCTCTGCCTCCCAAGTAGCTGGGATTACAGGCACACACAACCACACACTGCTAGTTAAAAAAAGAAATTCTGCAAAATTTTTTTGATCCTCCAGCCCCAGCCTCCCAAAATGCTTGGACTACAGGGAGGAGGCACCACACCCAGCCTTTCCTTAATTTGCAGCCTCACACTTTCCTGCAGTTTTAATTTCTGATTTTAATGGAATGGGTGACAGGAACAGCCCCGAGTGGGGCCCACACAGAGCCTTGGACCTTCGTGGTTGTGAAGGACCCAGACATGAAGCACAAGATTCGAAAGATCATCGAGGAGGAAGAGGAGATCAACTACATGAAAAGAATGGGGCATCGCTGGGTCTCAGACCTCAAGAAACTGAGGTACAAACTGAAACAAGGGCTCTCTCAACAAGGCAATTTTTACTTTCTGCAGGAAAGGTACCCTTGCTGGCCATCTTGTCACAAGAGTACAATGAACAAAGGAAAAGCAGACATATTTATCCTTTATGCATGTGGGGTTGTCCTTACTGCTGTGTCTGATCTCCACTGGTTGGAGCCAGACTTCACAATCTAAACTAAAACCCAATTGGCTAATAACTTAAAACTTTTCTAAACAGACAAAAGCAATGGAGAACAAAAAGGAAGTCCAAATAAGGAAGGAGCATAGGCTGCGAGCTGAGACATGCATGTGAGCATGTCCAGCACAGATATCTTGGTTAATATAGAAGGACATAGAATGTACTACGTGCCTGTAAGCATATTTAACAGCTACATAGGATAGGGCTTAACAAAGAGTTATTAACAAAAAGCAAGAAAGATGTATTCTTTAACAAGAAAGAAAACTTTGAAGAAGAACTTTCCTATGTCCCACAATTAGTAAACATGTTTTTATTTTTATCATAAAGAAGCTAAGGCAGTAAAAAGAGAACAAAAAATACAGGCAAATATTCTCAGGAATCTTTTTTCTCTTCCCAGAACCAATTGGATTAAAGAGTACTTGGATACTGCCCCTGTTTTGATTCTCATTTTCAAACAAGTACATGGTTTTGCTGCAAATGGCAAGAAAAAAGTCCACTACTACAATGAGATCAGTGTTTCCATCGCTTGTGGCATCCTGCTAGCTGCCCTGCAGGTATGTTGAGACATCAAGGGTTAAAGGGTGATCTTATTAGAACATTTCAGCTGAGTTTTCCTTCAGAGACATTTGGAAATTTTTTTTTTTTATCTAAAGTAGAATTCCTAAGTAAGGTAACTCTGATGTGAAAACTGACTCTGGAAACCTGGATTGGTGAGTAGGATGGTTCAACAAGCTGGGAATTCACTTAGAACATCATTTCAAGGTTAGAAAAATTGGTGTTGTGTTTGCTGTCATCTGTAACAACACGAAGGTTCAAGGGTTTTGGCAAGCATGCATGAAGAATTTTGGAGCCTAAAAATCACAGAGACGAACTCCCTGGTTACGTTTACTGTTGCTAGCTGAGACGACGGAATGACTGAAAAGCCGTAAGAAGGGCTCTTCACAGAGCCCCTTTTCTGAGAAGTTTGTATTGCACGGCATTAGGAAGATGGTCACGTGCTTTTAAAAAATTCCATCTACATAGGAATGAGTGCAATGCTAACATGAAGTGGAGCAGGATTGCTGTATATATTTTAAACTATTCATGCATTCACTCAACAATGCACTCACTCAGCAAATATTTTCTGAGCTCCTTTTTATTTTCTGCGTTTTTTTTTTTTTTTTGAGACAGTCTCACTCTGTCACTCAGGCTGGAGTACAGTGGTGCCATCACAGCTCACTGTAGCCTCAATCCCCTGGGCTCAAGTGATCCTCCCACCTCAGCCTCCTAAATAGCTGGGACTATAGGATTAGTCCTGGAACCAATTGGACTAAAGAGTACTTGGATACCACCCCTATTTTGATTCTCATGTTCAAACAAGTACGTGGTTTTGCTGCAAATGGCAAGAAAAAAGTCCACTACTACAATGAGATCAGCTGATTTTTGCTTTTTTTTTGTGTGTGTGTAGATGGGGTTTTGCCATATTGCCTAGGCTAGTCTCAACTCCTGAGCTCAAGTGATTCACTCTTCTCAGCCTCCTGAGGTACTGGAATTACAGGCATGAGCCACCATGCCCAGCCTCTATGTGGCAGTTCCTGGGAGCCACCAGGGATAGTTGTCTGATTAGCTGTTTAATCTAGCAGAGACTGGGGACCAGGTAGGGAATAGACAGAGATGGTAAATGCATAAAATA